GTGACAAGACTCACAACAAGAACAAGATTTTATGGGCAAGACCAAGAACAAGAACAAGACTAAATAAGCAAGACAAAGAACAAGAACAAGACTAGATTTGCAAGACCAAAACCAAGACCAAGACTGAGTTAGCAAAGCAAGACCAAGAACAAGAACAAGACTAGATTTGCAAGACCAAAACCAAGACCAAGACTGAGTTAGTAAAGCAAGACCAAGACCAAGACTGAGCTATCAAGAACAAGACTATGACCAAGACTTTGACAGTCTTGGTCTTGTTCTTGTTTTGCTCATCACTAGTTTTAGGAAAGTACAGAATATTTATTTTCAATTATTACAAAAGACTAAAATAGTGTTCTTATATCTGCATGTTAAGAAAACTAAATTTTGGCACCTTTAAAATAATGCTCCTTAAGCGATTGTCCTAGAACACTACTCTGTAAAAACAAGTCTTAATATACACAATGTAATTAATTACAATTGAATGACAATAAATTTTGAAACATGATTGTAAAATTTTAAGTTAATCGGTAACATCAGCTCATAGGTAATATTTAATTTGAACAATACGCGTAATGAATAAAAATCAAAGTAAAATTTAATATTGTCGAATCTGTCATTAATAATCTTAACGATTTTAACCAACAACAATTTTTTTTTTTTTTTTAAGAGTGCAATACTCTTGCAGTTTTATTCTTGTTGTTGCAAGATTCTTGCATTTTGAGTCTTGGTCTTGGTCTTGTTCTTGCAAGTCTAGTCTTGTTCTTGTTCTTGGTCTTGCTAAAAAAGTCTTGGTCTTGTTCTTGTCAATTGAGTACAGTCTTGATGTTGGTCTTGCTGATATTATTACAGTCTTGGTCTTGTTCTTGGTTTCGTAGAAATGCAAGACCAAGCCAAGACCGCAAGAACAAGAGTAATTCTGCTCATCACTAATAAGCTTCGATGCGAAGCTCAGAAGGTATTAATTTTTCAATGATATGTTTATTATTTTTTTTTGTGTCTGTCACTACTATTTCTCAACTCTCTCTGGACTGATTTTTTTCAACGATACGTCAAAATATCAGAAATTGTATCTAGTTGAAGACATTGCCATAACTTATTAAAAATGAACAAATCCAAATAATTCTTTGTTATATAAAAACTATAAATATTTTCCTTTCATATGATATCGTTTTTTTGAAAATCTGACCCTTTATCTGCCCACAGGGGGAGATTCAAAATAGAAACTTTTTGACAAAAATTTAAGTTTTAAAAATGTTCCGAAAATACTCCAAGCTTCAAACATATGTTAAAATAATTATAATGCTATGCACTATAAGTAAAAAAAAATTTATAATATATTGATTTTTTATTATAAAAAAATGAATTTTTATAAGAATGTAGGTTACTGTGATATGATAGTGTATAGAATAGTTGTCATAGATAAGTCTTGATTTTTATTATAAACTAATAGACTTATATATCATTACAAAGATAAATGAGTCTATAAACAGTACTGTTATGATAATGTAAATATAAATTTTTTTTTGTGCGAATAATTCAATATATTCAATGATATTACATATATTGTTCATGAAATTTAATTATTTCAAATTTATTTGAAAAATTTATCTATTTTTTTTTTTTTTTTTTTTTTACATTGAAATATTTTAGAATAGTGGCATAGAGAAAATTGATGAAATCAGTTAAAAATGTTTTGTTATTTCAATTTATATAAGAAAATTTTAATCGTAACTTTATTAAAATTTCTTGAATATAAAAGTCGACGAACCAACCTAAATTTAAAAAATCGAATAACTTACGTTATAAGAATCATCTACTATAACTGTAGATGTAAATGTTTTTCTTAATATACTGCAAACTTACTTATAAAAAACAAACGATAGCACAGTGGGGTCTCGGCACAGTATGGATGTGGCATAGTTGGAACTAGTATAGATGATATCTGATAGTGATTAAAATTACTATCATAAGAAAAATATAATATAATTTTTATAATTATTTGATTTCAAATTATTATTGATTTTGATTTTTAATATGTAAAATGTTATCATTTTTAACTTATTTTTTTTGTCTTTTGAAGTGAAAGTTTGTAATAAAAAGTGAATTTATTACCGTAACTATTAGCTCACCTTGCAAATTTGAAATTGACATAATTAAATAAAAAAAAATTATATTGTTACGATTTATATGCAGTCACGAAATTTTATAATTACTATTTACAATAAATTTATCAGAAAAGCATGATTTTTTGCATTCTTATCGTAATAGATCCCTTAAACAGAAATCATAGTAATCATTTCTAATTAACTTTTGGTGTTTAAAAAGATTCTATAATTGAAATATTCAGAACTTAATTAATTTTAATGATTTACTTTAACTAAAAGAAGCAATTAAAAAGTTGTTAAAAAAATATACACAATTGAGTGTATTAATAAAAAATTTGATTACAATAGAAAAAATCTATTGTTAAATTCAGGTGAAATCGCAGCCAAAAATAAAGCCACATAGTAAAAATATATTAACAAGATTTTATATTATATATTGAAATTTCTTTTCACGAGGGGAGATTACAATAGTGGGATCCTGGATAATTATTGAAGTTATTGAATCTAAATGAAATAAAAATCTAATGATTTGAAAATTTTTTTCTAATTCAAAAAAAATTAATTACCGCAGGCAAATTTAAACTTCGTACCCTATGCATGAAAAATACAAGTGATACCTTTTCACTTGCCGTCGCTTTCGTCACTTGATAAAATCGACAATTTAAGCTAATTCAAATTTTAAAGTTACTTTTTTAGACTTACAAAAAGCAAAAAAAGTTAAATAAGTTCAACTTTATATTCTATGTCAATTAAATTATATAATATTCAGTGTTGAGAAGGAACTAGTTCCAAAAGGAACGGATTCCTGGAACGAGTTCTTTTTGAAGTAACGATGCTAGGAACTGCTTCCTTTTAAAATAAAGGAACGAGGAAAATGAACAAATTCCATTTTTTAAGGAACGTGAACGGAAATTACAGTTCCTAAAAATTTTTATAAACATGTTTAAGTGTAGTTTTCTTCGTATCTAGACATTAAAATATTAAGGTATTTTTAGTTGACTTTTGACAATGGAAGTCCCCTATATACCCAACCGAGATCGTAGGATGTTTAAATGAATCAATTGACTCTAAATAGAGTTATTATCACATGTAGGTATACAGTAAATATTTAATATATGTTTACCAGTAGAGAAAAATACAACTTCAAGTTCTCGTATTGAAGAGTTAGAATTATTCTTAAAATGCCAGTCGAAAGACTTGACTGTGTTACTATTGTACCCTGCAATATTAAAAGTATTTTTAGAATTTAACACACCCCTTCCATCTAGTGCTCCTGTTGAGCGACTGTTTTCGACAGGTTTCAATGTGATGACACAAAAACGCCATAAATTGAGTGATTCACTTTTTGAAAAATTAGTTCTATTAAAATAAAACAAATTTGGTATATAAAATGAAAATTTTGTTTTGTTTTAATAGGACTAATAATTCTCAAATTTGTAATTAATGTGTGTGTTAAATACTAAAAATACTTTTAATATAATACTATTAAATAGTAAAACTGTAAATAAGTAGTTGTAAATAGTGTAAATAGTTGTTAACTGTACAAATTTTTTACAGTTGACAGCTATAAGTCTAATAATAAGAAATATGCATTATTACAATGTTATAATATTTAAAACTACATCTGTAATGTGTAGCATTTTAATTATTATAGTAGTTATTTATATTCTGATTTAAAAGATCAGTAGTACAGTTATACATTTTTATTACAGAATGATGTAATTGTTTTTGTGTAGTTACTAGTTATAAAACATTATTAAACATATTTATTTATGCCTTTTGATTTAAATATGCCATATAATCTAAAAATTCATAATAAAAATAAAAACAATTTTTTAAATAACTTGGTTACATAAAAGGAACGAAGAGTGGAACGAGTTCTTATTTTGGAGGAACTGGATCTGGAACAAGTTCCTTCTTAATATAAAGAACTAGGATCTGGAACGAGTTCATATTTTAGAAAATGAACGGGGAACGGAACGAGTTCCATTTAAAAAGGAACTTTCCTAACACTGATAATATTCATAAAAGTCAGTGTATTCCCCTTGTAAGATATTTTAAAATAAAATAAAATACAAAATCCAGAATTTTAATACAAAAATAGCATATTTTTGAATACATTAGCCATTTTTGACTAGACGAAAATCTATATTTCGAATTTTTTTTTGTCGTGGTAAAGTATATAATATAAGTTTTAATTTATGATTACATAATAGTGTCAATATTTCCGGAACATTTTCAAAAATTGAGTTGAAAAAGATTAACTTATGTGCAAAAATTGTTTTTTTAAATCTGATTTTCAAATAATTTATATCAAATGAAAGAAAAATATCTAAGGTTTCAATATAAAAAAATTATTTTAATTTGATAACTTTTCAAAAAGTTATGGGAGTTTTAAGTATTAAAATATTTCATGTTAAACAGTGATTTGTATATAAAAATTACATTTTTCGTTAAATTCGACGGCTATTTTTCTATAGAAGAAAAGGTGTCGGGACAAATTTTTCTTTTTTTAACTTATAGTATTTATTGTAAGTTTTAATTTGACATATATTTAAAGCTTGGAGTATTTCTGGAACATTTTCAAAAATTAAGTTGAAAAAGTTCAACTTTGTAAAAAAAGTTACTATTTTAAATCCCTCCTTGTAAGCAAGTTAAATGTTAGATTTTCAAAAAAATGATATCATATGAAAGGAAAATATCTAAGGTTTCAATATAAAAATAATTATGTTGACTTGTTCATTTTTAAAAAAGTTATGGTTTTTAACAAAAAAGTTTTTAAGAAAAAAAAGGAAAATTTACGAATTAACAATAATGTAGAAATAGAATAATTAAGATTATTTGAAAGTTTTATGCTTGCAAAGGAAATATACAGATTTTATAATAAAAATTACCGTCGTCTACGTTTTCAAGTTTTTCATCTAAAATCGAACATAAGAACAATTAAGTTTTAGTAATATTATTAAAGTTATGTCTAATGATATAATTTTAAGTTTAACGCAAAGAAAGTTTATTTTTTTTATTTAAACTCATTTGAACAGTTAATTTAGTATAAATCAATAATATAATTTTAAACGGATGAGATTTTTTTTCTATTAGCTTCGGATGAGTAGCTAAGATTTATCGGGTGATAAAGATAAATATACAATTTTCGGGAAAAATTCTAAATTATTTCCAGCTAAAGCTCGTTTAATGTAATATATGATTAAAAACAGAAAAGCAATCCGGTGATTTTGATTATTCATAGTGGACTATGAATAATCAACCTCATAAACGTTGTATTTTTTGGTAGATTTGTTTAGTTTCACCGAGATTTTTTCGGTTTAATCTGGGGCACTTGGAAACACGTATAATATTACCTACTGTTTTTCTTTGTCATACTTGTACTATATATACTCTGTCTTACTCCTTAACTTACTGTTTGATTAACTAAATAATTTTAAATTCATAAGTGACGTGAAAAAAGTATCGAAGAGAAAGAGAGCATTTTTTTTAAATGTAGGGTCAAATCCTTAATAATTTGAGATTTAGTTCCCATCCGTAAATATAAATATAACCTTGGTTGACCTTTTTTCCGATTCGGCATATTAAATTGTTTTTCAATGTGTTAAATACACATCTAAACATTTTACGATAGTGAATTTAATCACTGTCTGATATTAATCAATACTTTACTGAATCTCTACAGTACTTTACTTTTATAAAATTTAATTTATAACTTAACATATTTATTTTTATTCTTATTGAGTTAATTTTTTAGTTAAATAGACCAAATCAAAATTAAAGCACTAAAATCTTTCTTTTTTGATAAAAGTAATAGTAATTATACAAATTACATTAATATAATTTCAGTAAAGGCGGACTGTATAATTCAGTAAACTTGTATGACTCAATATATCGAGGTTCCATTTTGTTCGAACTAGTTGTATACGTTATCTCTATTACAAAAATGATTTTTTTTTATCGAGAAAAATAGTAATATGAATAAAAGCAAAATAAAAATTCTAAATATTTTAATAGTGACTCTTTTTCTAATTTTAATACATTGATACAACTTACTTGTTATATCCATATATTTTCCTAATTCTGTAATTGAAAATTATTAATCAGAAACATATAATTATTTTAAATGTTTAAAACGTTATTATAATAGTAAAACTTTAAGAAACCAATTTTAAATTCGGAATCTTAAAATTTTCAATAACCAAAACCAGAATGGGTAGTCTATAGGGACTACCCACCTCAGTATTTTGTTTGGATTACATTATATTTATGAAGCTAAACTTATCAAGTTTAGCCTAATAAATATAATGTAATATTGCACAAAGAGGAAAAATGTTCAATTAGACCCCTTTTTAAATTTATAAAAGAGTAAACAAAATAGTTAACTATGAAGACGGCTATATTGGCAACATCCTTAATTTTCTAGTAGCTATTTTATATTTACCAAGTACGAATAATGCCAATTTTACTGGATTAAACGCACTACATAAATATGTATGTTGCCATTAAAAAAAAATAAAGTTAACTCCCCTATAAGATACAAGAGATGAATTAAAAAAATATTTTATAACAGATGATCGGAGATATATATGTAACTAACAAAAGTATAAATATATATATATATATATATATATATATATTATTTTAAGAGAAATTGAGTGATTAGTGTTAAAAGAATCACTCTGTATGTATATTTATGTACACATTAAAATATCCCCACGCGTAATTCAATATCATAATCATAAGTTAAATATATACACAAATATGATGTAACATTAGATATTTGTAAAAACCTAAATTATAGAAATGGTTCTTAATAAAAATCGTTATGACATCTCTGATATACTCGTCTATTAAACCTAGGTTTGTTTATATTATTATAAAATATTTTTGAACATTAAAAATTTAATATTTCAAAACATATAAAATAATTAAAACTATATTTTCTTTAAAAAATATTAATTGATTTACTTTGCCATAATCCTTTTGTCATGGTAGTGACTGACGGTTTTATAAAATAAAAACAAAAAAATAAACAATATGTGTGTAATAAACGCATTGTGTATAACTTTATAAATAACAATCAAAAGAATATACTTTAAGTTAAAAACGGGCTGATATCCAAAAATTAATGTCTATAATTTTGTCGTGTTCAAATGTTATTATATACGTTTATTCATCTATAAACAAATAAATATAATATACACACATGAAAAACATACTTTTACTAAAACTATTTTCAAAATATGAAATAATAGATTTTAATACCTATGTAGTAAAAGTCTACAATAAAGTTATTTTAATTATTAAAATAATGAGTAATTTCAAAAGACGCATTGAATATAAAATATAAATTGTATTATGATAAAAAAAACCCAGCATAGGGGAGTCACGGCACATTGGTGACGTAGCATAGTTGGGTTGGGTTGTGTTGGGTTGGGTTTTTGCTATTTCCTTATTAATATCCTGATTAAGATAAAGTATATTGAATGGATGATGTATATAAATACTACTTCTCATAAAAAAATTGTATTGATCCATACATTTTTTAAAAAGTTATAGCATTTTAAAGTAAAAAATTTAAAATATAAAATCGATAATTTTCACACAATAATAGCATTCGGTAGCCATTTTCACCGTGAAAACAAAATACAGTCCGAATTATTTTTTTCCATATAGAATTGTCAGACTTTCCGGAACACTTTCAAAAGTTAAGTTGAAAAAGTTAATTTTTTGTGAAAAAGTTGCCATTTTAAATTCCCCTCTGTGGGCAGGGGCGTTCATCGTTTCCGCCAAGCATCATTTCCACCAAATCTGATTAAGGTAAGTTTTTCGTTTACGCCAAACCGATAGTTTATACTTGTCTATAAGTAGAATCTTGAGAACCTTTGGTTAAAATATATGCCAAAATAACCCGATAATAATTATCTACTATTCATTTAATCGAACTTTTTACTATTTTTTTATTCTTATTAGATAGCAGTGCATTGATAATTGTGAATCATTTCATTCACATTTAATGATTCATTTTTTAAGGCGCATCCTTCAATTATTTTTTTTTTAATTTTAATGAAAAATATTTAGTCTTATAATACATTAAAATATATAGTTTTGATAATGCAGTCTCAAATAGCGTATGGAATAAAATTGAAATCCGTTTCAGAAAAACAAAAGAGACAAGTGATAAATTTAATAACAATGAAATTAGACGATTTGAATTTGTGGAATTAGTTTTCAACAACTATCGAAAAATTTATAGATCATAGATCTATTTTTTATTATATTATTACAGGTATTAGAAATTTTTTAAGCTTATTGTTAATGTTTGAATTTTATTTTAATGTTTTGATGACTTTTTATTTTCTTATAAACTATATTTTTATTATTCATTACAGATAAATATATACATACTTAAGATAATTATTTATTAGAATTTATTTACCTTAGGTAAAACGTCATATTTTCTTTATAAAGTTATGCCTATGTGATAAAATAAGAAATTATTCAAAACGACGTGACCATATTTAGAGATGGTTAAGGGGGTCAAAAATTCTTGGGAGCAAATGTCATTTAATAGTGATAGGACAAAAAATTACTTTATTTTGCCCATTAATATTAATACCTCACGCAAAAATCTTATATACAGGCCTGAACGTAACATTCAATAAACGCCAAACAATTTGGTACTGGCAACTATCTAACTTACCCGTATGCTAAAACCGATACTGGTTTATCGTGGTGACCCATGGATAAAACTAAATGGTTCTCAAATTTTTTAGTAGATAGACAGGTAGAAGATTAGTTTGGCGGAAACGACAAAGCGACCTTATTCAGGTTTAGCGGAAACGATACGTTCAATTTTGACGGAAACGATAATCTCCCTTGGGCAGGTAAAGGGTCATATTTATAAAAAAAATATATCAAATGATAGGTAAAGACATCAAGCATCTATAAAAAAATTATATTGATTTGTTCATTTTTAAGAAAGTTATGGCAGTTTTAAATTAAAAAAATTGAAAAAATGTCAAACATTAGAGATTTTTAAATTTGTAATTATTTTGGAGATTTCCCCCAATTACGGGAAACGAGGGGAATTTTTTAAATTTTTGAGGGTAATGTTTTCGACTAGATACGATTTGTGATCTTTTGACGTTTTGTTGAAAGAAATTGGTTCGGTGAGAGCTGAAAAAAGTGGTAACAGACACAAAAAAAAAAAACACATCATAGTAAAACTAATACCTTCTCAACTTCGCATCGAAACTAAAAAATTGTTTATGCTATTATAAAATGCCTGTTTTTAATAAATTAAAATTAATTAATAAATTAATAAAAAATATATTTGATAAATAGGCATTAACAAGTTAAGTAATGCTAGATAAAATATTTATTCCACTATTTTCAGACAATGCGAATATTCTGGGTTAAGTAAATAATGATAATAGCTCAAAATTTAAATTCCATAAATTAATTTCATAAGTATAGACCGAAAAGTAGATTAATTGCAAAATTTCTAGTCTAAGAATTTTTTTAATTTGCACTTTCAATGTTTTTTATTGTTATAGAAAAACAATACTTAGGTGAAATCTATTTTAAAATAGAGTGAGAAAATTAACTAAAAATTTGAGTGTCAAAGAAATGATTTGTAGATTTTACAATTCAAATAAGATAAATTTTGTTGAAATAAATAGAAATCTGTTAAAATATTCAGTTTACCAGGTGCTAGTTTAAAGTGAATAATTTATTGTTTTTTTTTTTTTTTAAAGTTGCTTTTTATTATTACTTATGAATATAAAATTTAAAAAAAACAGAATTTAAGGATGTTTTTACAATATTGTTATTTATTACAAGATTTTTTGTAATAACATAAAATAATGCATCTTTAAATATATTTTCGCAATAGTTTTAGTAAAAAAATGTTTTTAATGTAAAATGTTATATTTATGCACACTATTAAAATGAATCAAATAAAGTAGTTTAGTATAATTTATAAAATTAGCATTATAATAATTTTAATTAAAAACACAAGTTCAGATGAAATATATGATTTAAATGAAACGTCTTGAAAACGAATAACAAATTTATATATAACAAACTAGTAAATTCCGTCGTTAATAAGCAAATAAAAATTTTCCAACCTTGTCCAACAATTTCCCAGTAATAGCGTAACCTAATATTAATGTAAAAAAAAAATTTTAAATCTGAACACGCTAAATAATTTTGCCAAAAATACGTTTTTTTATCTGTCACCCTACTATGAGTATTTGAACTAACAAACGCCGTGTGCCAAACGTAACGGTGCAAAGTTCAGCAAGTGTCGCACGGCAGCCGTCGCCATTAACGCTGCTAACTTTCTGACGTCTTAAGATCATGCCGGACATCACGTCGCCGATGCCAGCCATTGTCGACTACATTATTGCGACGTATGTCTTGTCAACCGACTTCCCAGTAAAGATCTCAACCGGTCTCACATCATAGAAGAAAACCATTTGCTGACTTGATTTTTATTATATATATATATATATAATTCCCTTTTATTTCACTGTTAATTTAATTATTTAATTTACCGTTCGCTGGTGACAGCAGTAAATTCCCCACCCGGTTATCATAAATTGTCAATAGTGCAACAATTATAAAATTCCGCTTTGTTAAGAGGACGCCACACAGAACGTAAAACGTATTCAACGCTTCATGGATAGCGTTATTTTCCGTAATTGCGGCGATCACGCCCTCCGCCATTTAGAAGTAACCGCTGCGCGCAATCGTCGTTCGGAATCGCCGCTGTATCATTTGTAGATTAATTGTTCTGCGTCGCGTACCGTACAGTAACATTATTAACGTATCATTAGTAACATAATGTCATCGAGTATCTATCTATATTTTCGTTCCTTTAGGTGTAGTTACTCAAAAATAACGATTTCGAAGTACTCGGTACACCGGTACTTTTACTTTTTTTGTAATTTAGTACCTTCATTCCGACCCGTTACCAACACCTAACCAGTATTTATTGATCATGTAAACAGTCTTTAAGCGGTACGTTAGTAGATACAGTATCAATAGTAAATCCCTGAATATGTCTATGTCATTTACTCATCAGGTAATATCATAAAGGCGTGAAAGCTTTTTAAGGAAATAGAAGTTTATGTTGCTTTTGTAATTATCTACCATTTTCTTAGAATTAAACAATATCTATTGATTTGCAACGAAGCGATTCTTATTAAAGCGAAACTGTTAAATATCATCTATACTTGTCCCAGCTAGCCACCTTACTGTATTACCGTTTTTTAACTTCGTTGCGAAGCTCAGAAGGCATTAATTTTACTATGATGTGTTTTCTCTTTTATCGCCACTTTTTTTCAGCTTGCACCGGACCGATTTCTTTCAACAGTATGTCAAAATATCACAAATCGTATCTAGTCGAAGATATTACTCTCAAAAATTTTAAACATTTCCCTCGTTCCACGTAAATGGGGGAAATCTCCAAAAAAATTACAAATTTTAAAATCGATAATTTTCGAAATTTTTTCAATTTTTTTTACTTAAAACTGCCATAACTTTTTCAAAAATTAACAAATCAAAATTATTTTTTTTTATAAATGCTTGATGTCTTTACCGATCAAGTAGGTTGATGAAAGTGTTCCAGAAAGTCTGACCCTTTTATATATATTTTAAATTAAAGCTAATGTAATGTACTTTATTGTGGTAAAAAAAAAATTCGGACTTTAGATTGCTTTTATGGTGAAAACAGTCATCAAAGTTGATAAACAAAATACGATTTTTGTAAAAAAATTCTTTTTTATATTTTTAATTTTATTATGCTATAACTTTTTAAAAAATGTATGGATCATTACAATTTTTTCATTAGAAGTAGTATTTATATANATACAATTTTTTCATTAGAAGTATTATTTATATACATCTTTCATTGGATATACTTTTTTTTTAAATCAGACTATTTCCCTATATATGGGGGTGCTTCAAATATAAAAAATGCATATAGAAAGTAGAACTTTTTCAACTTAACTTTTGAAAGTGTTCCGGAAGGTCTGACACTTTTATATATATCTTAAATTAAAGCTAATGTAATATACTTTAATTTGAAAAAAAAAAATTTGACCTCTGG